GAGGCAGGTGGATCACGAGGTCAGGAGATCGAGACCATCCTGGCTAACACAGTGAAACCCCATCTCTACTAAAAATACAAAAAAATTAAGTCCCAGCTCCTCAGGAGGCTGAGGGAGGAGAATGTTGTGAACCTAGAAGGTGGAGCTTGCAGTGAGCCAAGATGGCACCACCGCACTTCAGCCTGAGAGACAGCGAGACTCCATCTCAAAAAAAAAAAAAAAAAACTTACTGAAAAGCAAGAAGTTAGGTGGAGTTACCTTTGGGGAGGATCGGGGTGCCATCTGCTTTCTAATAATTCATTAAACTATAATCTACATCTTGTGTTATATTTCACAATGGAAAAATAGGAAAGAGCTCCTGCCCATAATGACGCTTCGCAGGGTTTGGAAATTTCAGATTCAATTCCTCTCCTTGTGGGGGCCAAGGATGGGAAGGGCAGGTGGTTCCAGGAGGAAAAGAGGAGGCCCTGGGGCCTCAAAGTAGCTAAGGACCGTCCCCCAGCATGGGCAGCACCTACCCTGGAAACAGGACTCTACTTCCCTCCTCCATTAGGGAGCAGAGCAGCCCTGAAGTGCCTTCTGGTCCAGGTCCTCCCACTGCAGCTGGAGGGATTCTCCCAGGCACTGAGAGCCCTTCACGACCCAAATGCCCCATGCGGTTGGCCTCTGGACTTGCCTTCCCTGCTCTGTGTATCTCCCTCTGTCTAGCCCTCAGCCTCCTCCATCACTCACTCTGTCTTCTCTGCCAGTGTATTCATCTGTCTCTGTCCCTCTCTCTGCCGCCTTCTCTCCTATCAAGGAGCCAAAACCTCAAGCACAGACTCACACCCTCCTCACAGGCCCATGTGCCCAAGGAGCCCATAGTTGCCAGGCTGAGATGAACCAGGAGTGTCCTTCTGAACCAAGCAACAGCGTAGGGTGACCAGGGAGGGCCAGTTCATCTCAGTCTGAAAGAAGACCCAGATGAGGAAAGGATACACTGGCCTCCCGCGGTCAGCAGCAGCACTTCCCAGGACAGTGAGCAAGCCAGGTGCCCTCTCAGAGTGGGTGGGCACACCCCTGGGAGAGGGGACCCCTGCCACACAAGAAGAGGAGCAGCTGTGAAGTATGCGCAAGGAACAGACCAGCAAGGAGGACCCAGGCAGTGCTAGAAGGGAGTTCCTGGAAGCTTGGTAGGAGAGCCCCTCAACCTCTGACAATCTCATCATCTCACATCTCACGTCTCACATCTCAGGCATGGAAGAATGAGGGCCTTTAGAGAATAAAACATCAAGTACACTCCAACCTGGGCAACAGAGCCAGGCTCCATCTTGAAAAAAAGAAAAAAAAAAATGCCTGTGGTCAATGCTCTCCGTACAGGGGAAAACAAAACAAAACAAACTTCTCCTTTTTTTTTTTTTTTTTTTTTT